AATCTCCATTATTACATTTTCAGCTATTAAAACATATCCAAACATTAGAAACAAGTGGCCATAATTCTTCGTAAAATTCTTTTGTTGAGATTTCAAAAGAATTAATAATATTAAAAATATTAAAATGCTTTTGATTTATTGTTGTCATTATCAAAGAATAAATAAACTTTTTGGATTATAAATCAAAAAAAAAAATCTGATTTATAATTTGATCTACAATCCGATTTATAATCCGATCTGTAATCCGATCTACTTAAATCACATAATACTACCTGGCTTTAGTGTTCCCCAAATAAGGTAAGTTTATTAATTATCATTGCACAGGTACAAGTACTTGGTTTTTCAATAAATAGTATTTTATTAATTGACTCGCTCAGATACACTATCTATGATCTACAATATGTTACATTCTATTTATATGCCTTGCGACACGTCTCTAAATCTATTGTCACGTTATGCAAAATTATTAGACTTTTACAAGCTTTGCGCCCATCAATCATGCATGATTGATGCATAACCGATGCCCCATGCGGCACCGCGCCGGGCCCAACATGTCACATTATACCCCCTATTATAATTTCGATACTAACAATATATATTGTCATGGGTCAGGGTTTAAAGTAACATGTCGCAAAAACCTTGACTTCGCGACACTCTTATACAGGGGTCACAGGTTTTACAGAGGGGTGATAGGCAGAAAGAAGGCATGGATTTGGCGAGTTTTGATAATTTGGAAGGATATAATTGGTTGGGAACAGTACGATAAGTATCATGATTTTTATTAGTAAACAACTTTTTATTAACTTTTTCTAACAGTCATCTGTCTCTCCTCACTATTCAATTATTACATCATTTATATACTTTTTCTAGCTGCAAAATGAAATAATCGAAATAATAGAAATAACAGAAATAATAGAAATAACAAATATAAAAGAAATAACAGATATAACCGATCACACAGAACAAGCAGAAACAATCGAAATAACCGATCGAGCCGAACAAGTAAGGTTGAGGGTCAATTATCTGATTAGGCTACCTCTGTAATAAGCAATCTTTATTATGCAATTCTTAAAGCATATCATCAATCGTTTTTTCCCCTTAACAGTTCTTCCCTTTCTTAATTGCAAGTTTCATAAGCAAACCTTTTACTTGACCAGAACTTGATATTCACGCGCACTCAATCTTTTGATCTTGTTGAAGGTGATATTTTCAGTTTGATAGATCTGCTCTATTCCTCATTTTTGGAATAGGTAGTAGATCCGTAAGCTTTCCAGGTAATAATATGGGATAAGACAATTCCACTGTTCTGTCCTCTCTACCAGCTGACCCAAGTAGTATACCGTTACTAACATTTCAGTCCGCTGATCCAAGTATATCGCCCTCCTTAGGCATGACAGGATTTCGCGACTTTTTCCTTGTAAGTATTCCAGGCGTCGTAGGGTGGTGGCACGATATTCACATATGCGGGCTCTGTTGTCAACAAATCTGTGATTATCCTGGCAACTTCGTCGGAAATCGTTCTAGAATAACTAGTTGATTTTTTTCTAAAAAAAAATGGGTGGGGAGAACAATGAAAATAATAGAAAAAACGAATTCAAAAAAAACAAAATTACAATCGCAAAAACCCATCCTACTTATACTTGTACGAAATAAAAAAAAACAAATAAACTAAATAAAATAATCGTTCGAATTGATCGAATCGATCGAAAACATCTCTTTTTTTTTTTCACTATCATTTTTTTTTATCCTTGCATGGTCATTTCGTCTTCTTTGATAAGTATCGTTCCTCGTTCGTGATACAGTTTCAATAGCTAATGATTAACTGATCATCTAAACACATTCCCTTCACTTGTGCGGAGATGACATATTCCCTTTGGTCATACTTCATGGACGAAAAAGGGTTCCTCCCACTTATTATCCAGTTTGTGGCTTTGGGAATGGATAAGATGGGCATGATAGAGTAACACTTTATCTCCTATCATGAAACTTTGATTAGACTTGATTCATTGATCATGTCGTGTCTTGTTTTGCTATTGCACTTGCTCAACCCTTGTGACAGCATTAGTTCGTTCTTGGGAAACAACATTAATGAGATTAAATATCTGTTGCAAGATAGTGCCATCTAAAATGTCGTCATCAGGGGATATCGGTGTACATGCTTCTCTGCCATATACCAAATAAAATGGTGTTACCCTCGTAGTAGTCTGATGAGCTGTTTGATATGCAAACAACATGGATGGTATCATCAAATCCCAATCTCTAACATTCTTGATAGTCTTGGTTAGTGATTCATATAGTGTCCTGTTGAATCACTCTACTAGCCTGTTTGTTTGTGGGTGATACGCGGAAGAATATAGGTGCAACTTAAAATTTAGATAGAAAAATATTGAATATTTGGCTTCTAAAATTCGTTTCTTGATTGGACAGCAAGTAACTGGGGCATCCATGCCGACACACTATGTCGTCGTAAATGAAATTGGTGATACTTCGAGTGGTCGCATTTTCTACCACCCTGGCTTTTGGCCATCTGGTCATATAGTCAGTGGCGACGATAATATACTGTTTGTTTCATGAGATTATGGGTAGAGGACCAACTAGATCGATGCCTAACTTGTAGAATGGAGCTTTTACAGGTATTGGATGTAAAGGTCATCTTGCTCAATTCTTCCCTCGCCGTTGACACTGATCGCATGTTTATACATATGCTCTGATATCTTCGTATAGTTGCGGCCAATAATATAAGTCCTGTATCTTCTTAAACATGATGTTTTTACCAAAATGTCCTCCTAGCAGATGCATGTGTGTTAAATACAATATTGATTCTAACTCATACTGTTGTAATACTCGTAATAGTCGGCCTGATTGGTGTTTATTCTTCTTGTATAATAACCCATCCTTTTGTATAAAGAAAGTATTTTGCATCTGTAATCGTCGTCTTAATTGTGGTATAGCATTCGTGGGTAGTCGTTGTCTTCATAGATAATTAAGCAATTGCCGATAGTTGTCGGATTCCATGATTACTTTTTCTTCTTTCTTCTTCTTTTTTTTTTTTTTAAAACACCAGGACACCAGTACCTGGGCTGGATTCTGTTTCTTGGATTTCAATTGATTTTTTTTTTTTTGAATCGATTAATGGGCAGCAGGGTCTAGTGTTACAAATCGTTAGTTGGATAGTTTGAAATTAACCAATCAGAATATAGGAATTTTTAGTTGTAACTAGTTGATTATAATTAAAACAACTAATCGATTGGAAAAATTTTGACCAACTAAGATCACTAGCAGGGCCTGACAAGATCACTTCTTGTTTCTTTAAATTTTTACCCATACTCTTTTGATTTCCTTTTCTTGCCTGAGATAACGCATCCACATTGGTATGTTTCTTTCCTGCACGATGTATAATTGTATAGTTATAGGGTTGGAGTCATAGAATCCATCTTGCTCTCCATCTCTTCAGTTTAGATATTTCCAGCCACTTTAATACAGAATGATCCATAACTACTATAAAGAGCTTCATGTCGAGATAATGGTAAAAATATTCAACTCTCCAAATTACCACTAAGCATTTCAATTCTGTTGTCGTGTAGTTTTACTTGGATCTCGTCAAACCTCGACTTGCATACGCGACTACATATTAGTGATCTTAGTTGGTTAAAATTTTTCCAATCAATTAGTTGTTTTAATTATAATCAACTAGTTGCAACTAAAAATC